CAGGTGTGTGCCACCATGCCCAGCTAATTTTTGTATTTTAGCAGAGATGGGGTTTCACCATGTTGGCCAGGATGGTCTCGATCTCTTGACCTTGTGATTCGCCAGCCTCCCAAAGTGCTGGGATTACAGACGTGAGCCACCGTGCCCGGCCCACAGTCCATATTCTTAAACAATACTCTTTTTTACTGTTCTATAACAGAAAAAAGAGATGAAGTGGTATACTATGACACTTACGAAAGCATGGAGGCCATGCTGGAGAAGGAAGAAATGGCAGCGTCTGCATACTTACAGAGAGAAGAGCTGCAGAAACTTCAGCAGAAAGCACGCCAGCTGGAAGCAAGACGTGGACGGGTTTCTGCCAAGAAATCCTACCTCAGAAATAAAAAGGTATTTAAATATTGCTTTTGTTCATTACTTAGTCTTTTATCCATATCTACTAATTTCATCTGTTTGGTCCTTAAAACTTGCCTATGTTTTAAAAAACTAAGTAAGCGCTATCTCTTGTCGGTGCTCGATATGTTTATAGTGCTTTGAAAATTGCCCTCTTAAACACACTGGAACAGCCAATAGTGATTTTCTCTTTACCTCCAGAAATACAGTGACTCTGCTAAAGGGCACGACTACAGGATCTCTGATAATGGGATCCCTGGCTCCCTTTTTATTTAAGGAAGCCCAGTAATGTTTTACAAGTCCTGCTTCTGACCGTAGTCTTAAAGGAATTTTATAGATATTTATTTATTTAACTTTGATTACATTTCAAAATGTTTGATTCTTGATATTTGGAATGATTCATTTTGTGGAAATGTGATTCTTCCTATGTCTTAGAAAATGTTTTGCACTCTAGTACAGGTGTTAACTATTGTGGAGCTGTTTCTAGTCACTGTATGTGTGGAGTTGAAATCTGTAACTAGCTCAGCAACCTAGACCAAACTGAAGACTGTGTGGTACTGATTTACTTTAAGCTCAGGTATTATGAAAGTATGTCATGTTCTCTGAGAACCCACCTTCCTGCTCTTCACCATATTCCAAGGCTACCTCTTCCTCATTTCACAGAAAATCAAAAGACCTTTGCTTTTTGAAATAGATAGTTCTTGCACATTAAAGAAACTCAGGCAGACATGTCTCCACAGTAAGTCAAGAACCCAGGACCTTCTGTCACTTTGTCCATCAACAGAACAGTTACCTTAGCATCCAGAGCCATGACTTTCACATAATTATGTGCCTTTGCTATTTCCCCATGACGGTAGTAATTGAAACCGACTGCTGTTTCAGCCCTGGTTATGAGCTTCATTTCATGTTCCAGTCTGCATCAACCAGGTAAACATTCAGGCCAGGCGTGGTGGCTCATACCTGTAATCCCAGCACTTTGGGAGGCCGAGGTAGCTACATCATCTGAGATCAGGAGTTTGAGACCAGCCTGGCCAACATGGTGAAACCCTGTCTCTCCTATAAATACAAAAAGTTAGCTGTGCCTGGTGGCACATGCCTATAATCCCAGCTACACGGGAGGCTGAGGCAAGAGAATCGCTTGAACCTAGGAGTGGAGGTTGTAGTAAGCTGAGATGGTTCCTTGAACTCCAGCCTGGGCAACAGGAGTGAAACTCTGTCTCCAAAAAAAAAAAAAAGCCATTGCAGTGATTTCAGCAGGTCATATAGAACAGTTTTAGGGGAGAATGAAAAGTAAACAAGATTTCAGAAGAGTACACTTTTTAGAAATATTAGAAAAGAGTATTTTATCTATTACTTTTAGGTGTATAATGCAGGACTTTTGAGACTAGTCGGAATTTGCAAACTTGCAAGCTTTTGAAAATTCTGTGCAATTCAGACTTAATTGAAAGTCTGATTTCTTTACTTTTCTTTTCTTTTCTTTTCTTTCTTTCTTTCTTTCTTTTTTTTTTTTTTTTTTTGAGATGGAGTCTCGCTCTGTAGCCCAGGCTGGAGTGCAGTGGCGCAATCTTGGCTCACTGCAGCCTCCACCTCCTGGGTCCTGGTTCAAGCAGTTCTCCTACCTCAGCCTCCCAAGTAGCTGGGATTATAGGCAAGAGCCACCATGCCTAGCTAATTTTTGAATTTTTTGGTAGAGACTGGGTTTCACCATGTTGGCCAGTCTGGTCTTGAATGCCCGGCCCCCTTGATCCACCCGCCTAAGCCTCCCAAAGTGCTGGGATTACAGGTGTGAACCACTGCACCCAGCTGTCTGATTTCATTTTAATTCAACAGTATGCTAGGTACATTGTTAGACTTAGGATACAAAGTTGAGCAAGGCATAGTCCCTGCTCCTCCCAGTCTTGTGGAGAAGGTAAACCAGGTGAAGAACAGATGAGTGTTCTGCCAGCCAATAACAGAGCAAAAGCAGGGAGTGACGAAAGTCACCTCTGAAGAGATGACATTTGCACTGACTTCTAACATCTGAATCGAAATTGGCCAGATTGATGGTGTTGGGGTAATTACAACAGGACAGAATAGTGCATAGCAAAGACCCTGAAGCAGAAAACAGCATGGTTTGTCAGGGCATTTTACATTGTAAGACATGCTGCAGGGCCAGGACCAGGTTATAGGAAATCTTACATACCACATTAACAAGCCTGAGCTTTGTCTGAAGGTAGTGTAAGTTAAACAGAGGGATAATATGAACAGATTTACATTTTAGCAAGATAAAACAGCATGAAAAATAGGGTAGAGGGAGAAGAGACGGAAAGGTTCTGATTGGAAGATGTTATTATCTTCTACCTCAATATGGTTGAGAAGTTAAGACTATGAAATAAGTGAGTGGCTGTGCAGGGTAAGAGATGGACAAATCTTGAACTGTCTAGATTTCCAAAAGTAGAAAGTTAGTAGGATTTAGTGATGTGGTGAAGGAGGGAGGAAGAGCCATTCTCTATCAGCTCTCCGGTTTTTGGATTGGGCGTTGGGGTAGACGGTGGTGTCACCAACCGAGATGGAAAACCCAGAAGAAGAGCATATATGGGTGGGAGGTGATGAGCTGTTTTAGACTTGCATATAATAGGCCTTGGGCATCTAGGTAGAGATGGCTGTGAGACAGTTGGGCACCTGGGTCTTGTAATATGAGAGTGTATGAGATGGTCTCAGAACATACTGAGCAGGTGATTTTTTAACATTTTATTTATTTTTTATAGAGACAGAGGCTTGCTGTGTTACCTGGCTGGTCTCAAACTCCTGAGCTCAAGCAATCCTTGGCCTCCCAAAGTGCTAGGATTGCAGGTGTGAGCCACTGTACCTGGCCTGAGGAGGGTGTTCTTAGGAATAATGGGGTGGAAGTGGTGGCAGGCTGTTAGGAAAGAGAAAGAGAAGGTAGTGGAGCAGGGTAGATACATAGTTTGAGGAGGAAAAACCTTCATTATATTTAATATTTCTAATTCAGGAAGCAAAACATTCTTGACTAGGGGTGAGGAGGAAG